TCACTGGGGATCCCAGCACCATCCCAGGGCTCACTGGAGATCCCAGCACCATCCCAGTGCTCACTGGTGATCCCAGCCCCATCCCAGGGGTCACTGGTGATCCCATCCCCATCCCAGCTGCCACTGGTGGTCACTTCTCCCCAGCAACCTACTGTCAGTCATGTGGAATATCTAAGACACATTCAGCTGGAGTTAGAAAACCGAAGACAAATAATTCCTTACATATTCCTCGTAGGCTTCTGGCGCAGGAGGAGGAGGAAGGGGTATCCTCTGGATGCCAGCTGCCCGTGCCCGGGGTGCAGGAGCCCCCCGCACTGCCGGAGGAGGGGGCACCCCCCGGGCTATGGTGGCCCCCCGAGCGATGGCCCCCCGCACCGGGGCCCCTCGTACCAGGGCCCCCCGAGGAGGAGGAGGAGGGGGACCAACCCCACGGCCCCTGGAAGGAGAGAAAGAGGGTTGTGAGCAGCTCCTGTGAGGATGCTGAGGGCGCTTCTTGTATCTGCTTTAAAAAGCAACAACTCGGTAACTGAACAGAGCTGCCATCAGCAAAGCCATGAAGGCTTTATCAGCACGAGAATTAACAGTGTTGCCCTTGAAATATTTGCTAAAACCTGCCTTGGGATGAGAATTCTGCTGCATTAGGTGTACAGGCAAAGGAATAAATGTGATACAGGACTTTGGGCAGGTGATTTCTCGGAATTCACTGACCTGGGATGGTTTCCAGACCTGCAGACCCATAAGGATCAGTGATGAGATGAGGAGGGACACGTCAGGGTTGAACAGGCAGAAGGAAAGACACTACCCCATGAAACAGGGAGTGAAGAAAGAACTATAGTAACAGTTTTATTGCCAATTTATCCCAGAGCCTTGACAGCACTGACAGAATGATGCCATCCCAGAGCTCTCAAACGACGCCAGTTTAATCTGAAAATGCTTGTTCTGCTGAAGGCTGCACAAGATCTGTTTACACACAGCTTCACAGGCCAATTGTTGAAAGGTTACTTTATAAAACTATTGATTGCAGACATCAAAAATAACACAGAAGACACCCACTGTGTTAGATTACATCTCGAGACATGCAAAACATCGGATGCCAGCGTGCTCCAGGCAACACAAGGCTGGAAAAGCCTTGGCCAAATTCCAAGGTCGAGCCCGACAGCTGATGTGCAAGAACAAGCAGTTTAACCTCCTCTGACAAGACAACTGTGAGCAAAATGCAGCACTTCCAGGTCTGTGCTTTTGGGAAAGATACCTTGGAACGGGTGGAGGGGGTGGGGGAGCTGCTCCCCTTCCCCGCCCGGGGACTCCTCGGCCGCGGTTGGGCTCCGGGACACCGTTCAGGTAGGACAGCTCCAGGAACTGCTCCTGGCAGATATCATCCATCATATCCTGAAAAAGGGGAGACAGTCAGTTCCAGAGAACAAGCCAACTAGCCAGGCTGTGCCCTGGGATATCCCAGCCTACTCTGCTGGAATAAAAATAACTGAACAGTCCTAAATTAAAATCTGTCGGTTGGTTTTACTGGGATTTGCTCAGCTTTCTCCAAAGAAGGAACACGTGCCCAGGAGCTCAGGTGAGCAAACAGCTGGTCCCTGGGAAGGGGATCTCTCTCACAGGGCTGCTGGAGGTACCTGATGTCACCCAGCCCCATCCCAGTGGCCACTTCTCCACAGCAATCTTATGTCAGTCATGTTGAGTACCTAAGACACAGCTGGAATTAAAACACCAAACAGATGTAATTCCTTACATATTCCTCATAGGTTTCTGGCACAGGAGGAGGAGGATCTGGAGGGATCCAGCCTCAGGAATGAGCACAGATCCCTAGTGACCCTTGGAAGCCAGGACACCCCACCTCAGAGCCTCACACCCAGTGCCACGGCAACACCACAAAGTGAGGAGTCTCCTCCCAGATGTGTCTTCCAAGCCCTGTTGGCTTCCACAGTGACTTCCCTGTCCATTTTCCCAGGTTTGACACACGGATTGAAAGCAGGGACAGAGAAGACACTTTAAATAGCAAGGCTGCTTTGGCAGCTCTGCACATCCCAGGGGCTCCTTGAACACGACCTCTTTCCTTCAAAGACACTCCACATCACAGTCTCTCCTCCTCCCTGTGTCAGACCCAGGCAAACACACACCATCCATACGCCTTTCCCACTGCTCCCATGTTCCACCTGTCCTTGGTACTTCAGGAAGAACTTCCAAGCTCTCCAAGCTCACCTATGGAGCAGTGACAGGGTCTATGAATCCCTCTATGAGGTCTCTGAGTTACAGGCTGAGCAGGAACACTGCCTGGGTCTTTCCCATTTTTTTCCCCCCTAATTTAATGAGCAACACTGTGATTTTAAAACATGTGAGAGACTCCTTCAGGTTCTGCCACCCTCAGAGGGAACACTCCAGCACAGTCCTGTTACACACTGGCTTAAAACAGAGTAATCTGGCCACAAAGGTCTTACAAAGTTCACCAGTAAAAACACGTCCCCAAGCAGGTGACAAGTGGCACCTGCATAAAAACATGGTTTACTAAATAATGTTCCTTCACATAATCCACATTTAAAGCAGCAGAAATGCTGATTTAACAGGTGTTGTCTCAGAAAACAGTCACCACAATGAGTACAGCTCCTGAGCTGCCCGGGCTCACCCTCCTCATCCTCACACCACTGTATTTAAGTTTCTGAGCTGACAATGAAGTTTTCCAGCTGGATTTCTACAGTTCCAAGTCAGAGGAACCCATCTAAGAATTCTCTTTCATGCCAGACTTATTCTCCCACTAAACCTGGCACGTGGAGCTGGACAAGTTGCTCATCTCCAGCATCCACAGCTCGTACTGGGAAGGAAATACCTCCTCCAAGTGCTCTATACCACTGCCCTGTATGGTTTTTTTATCATTCTAATCATGGTTAGAGGAATAATAAATACCTCCTGTGGGATTAACAGGGTTATCTGAAGCTGCCACCTCTTTACAGAGAGGGTTATCAGGCATTGGAACGGCCTACCCAGAGAGGTGGTGGATTCACCATCCCTGGAGGTTTTTAAAAAGAGATTGGATGTGGCCCTTAGTGCCATGATATAGTAATTGGAGTTGGATCAGGGGTTGGACTTGATGATCTTGGAGGTCTTTTCCAACCCAACCTATTCTATGATTCTATGATTCTATGATTTAATATTCCAGGTTCCCTCAACTACCCCAAGTGAGATCACACTGTGCAGATCTCACCCATCCTGAGCCAGGTTCACCACCCACCCACCTCCTTCAAAAATAAAAAAAAAGAGTGCCAGCATATACATACTGGAACAAGGAATTTCTTGACCTCCTCCATGGCATGAGCCATCAGGGCATAGGCCTCGCAGGGGGGCCCAAAAACCTCGATGAAGACGTGCAAATCCATGTTTAGATGAGCGTATTTCGGGTCCCCCCCTTTGCGCAGCTCCTCCTCCTGAAACAAAGCACATGGAGGGATTCCTGAAGCTGAAACAACACACACAGGAAAACTGCTTTTCTTTCACCTGTTTTCTGAGCCTTAAAACAGGAGACATCTGTAAAAGCATCTGGACACAGATCATGCAAACAGGCTGTGGATTGGAACAGGGTTTTTTGGAGCTACGCCTTCCACCTTCTGCCTCTCCAGGAGACTTATTTTTGCTAATGGCAATATTTTAATCGACCCCGGCCAATTTTTTTACCCCAGGATTTATATCCCAGCTTGTTGTTCTTCCTCCTCTACACCACCTTTCTGCCAAGGTGCTCTTCACCACCTCATGAAGCTCTGATGCCTCAAACAAGACTCTGTAACTCTGTTGTGAGACACTTCTGTTACTCAGACTGTTATTCAGTTATTTAAGAAGCTACAAACAAGCTGGAAGTGTAAAAGCTTTTCATGCAGCTCCAGTAAAACCTGAATTAAGTTACAGCTCTGTTGACTCTTAGCTCAGTTTTGGGAACAAGCAGGAAGAAAAAAAACCCCAAACATTCTTTTCATTTTTTTTCCCTGTTATAAAAACACCTCCTGGCACTTTGTGATTCACTAAAGATTACCAGGAACATACTGCTCCAAGATCTTCAATGAACCATGAGAATTCAAGGACTTCAGAGAGAACAGCTAGAAAAAGGATTTCATTTTTTTTTATGGAGGGGAAACATATTCCTTTAGTGAAGGACTCTTCAGGGAGCAACTGGGATTAATTCTCATTTTATAAACTTTGTATTTCATGTCTCACATAAGCCATCTCTGCATCCAAGGGTACAGGGCAGCACAAGATGCCTGGTTTATGAGTCCTCCTCATAAAGAAAACATACATCACACTTCAGCTCCCATCCAATTGCTCCCAACAATGCACAGAACAATTCCTGCTGCTTTGCTTTTGGATTAGAATGGTTTAATCTTTGACAAAATGCTCCAAGAGCCACTGCCTCAGAGTATGAAAGGAATTATGTGTGTGCATGTTTTCAAGGTGATGCCCTTACCTTGGCTTTGTCTCTCATTGAGCCCTTCCCCAGCACAGAAATCTTAGCACCAGTTTCTTCCTGAAGTCTCTTAATGGTGTTGCCTTGAGGTCCCAAAATCTTTCCAACGAAGTTGAACTGTAAGTGAATTAAAAAAAAAACAAATTAGCTCCAGAGTCCAGCAGATTTAACAGAAGCTTTTCTTAATGTCATGTTGGCTGACAAAAACATTTGCTCCTCACCTCACAAAAAACAAAATTTAAGTTTCAAAACATTCTTTTTATGAAGAAAATGCTCCACCAGAAAAACCAAGCTCAATTAACTCCCCTGAAGTGTTTAATTCTAACATCTACTCTGCAGCAGAGTCTTAATGAGTTAAATGAGTTTTTTTAACTGTAAAAACACAAAGCTCTACCCATGGAAGTGTCCATCCCAGCAATAAAATATCCCAGCTATGCCTCACCATTTAAGCTTTATCCCGAGACATTCTAGAAATGCAATATATTAGAAACAAGATCCTGCAAGCCTGCACAGGAAAAATTCCCCAGTGATGGTGGAACGGTGGATTAACTCCTGCTGACACTCTGACAGCCACTATCTCTCAGTCAGCCACAAAATCCACAGAAAATAAGCAAACCCCAGAGATTCAGCAGCTATTTTCTGGCCCTCACCTTGGGGTACTGTTTGACAGGTATCAGAACTCGTTCTTTCAGTTTCATATTCTTGTGGGAAAATAAATCCAGGTAGTTCTCTTCCTCATCCTTCTTTGTTGTTTCACCCTTCTGAATTTTTTCAATTTCTAAACAAGATAAAAATAGGGCTGCTTTATATTCCTCAAACAAGCATCAAGTTCAGAGCTGGAGTTGTGACAGGACACACCACCCTCATTCCCAGTGAATGGATCAACACTTGGAATGGTCTTAATGGAACATGGACAGGCCACCTCTTTAGTGCTGGAATCCCTTCACAGCCTGGGATTCCAGAGGCTAAAAATAGGATAATGGACAAAAATAAGGAGGAACAGCAGAAAATGGCCTACAAATAATTTAACAAATGAGAGCAGGAAACTGCAAGTAGAGTTTTGTGAGTCCCTTCTGCTGTGCCCTGAACACAGCACCCACATGTAGACCCCTCAATGCACAAAGAAACCAGCCCCAATTGCACTAAAACTACACATATTTGCTATAATGCAGCAGAAATCAGCAAATGAGGCAGGTTTTTATCATTCAGGACAAGCTATTTTAAATCCATAATTTAATTAGTGGTGTCAACACATCCTGACACGACGAATTTCAAGTTAAGTTGAAACCAATCCTAATAAACAACAACCCAGTGAGTCAGACAGAGTGTGGTCTGGTTTAGGAAATTCTCACAGCTTCATTTCAATAAATGAATTCACCTTTATCACACAAATAATTACTAACTGGGTTTTCAAACCCTCAGCTGTGCAGCCATGAAGGTGAGGGTCAGAAGTTCAAATTTTTTTTGCCTTTCAAAACAGGATTTTGATTTTTAATTGTCTGTTGTGAATCACAGAACCTTAAAAACCCACTGAGGTGGCCTGAGTGAAGGAATGTTGCAGCCTGAGGGGATCTGGGACAGATCCCAGTAACCTGCAGGAAGTAGGTCGTTAAGGGAGGTCAATTAGGAGCTGGTACAAACACCTTAAACCTGCCTGGAAATTAAAAATTCACTGAGAGGTGGCAGGATGTGACCCACATGGAGAAAATTCAAGATCCTCTTCCAGGCAGGCATTTCTTAGTCATTAATGCACTTTTCCTCGTTACAGAGATAATACCCAGAAGAAGACAGCCCAGAGCTTGTTCTTTCCAGAGGTGTCCAGTCATGGACAATTTCTATTCAAAGGCCAACAACTAAATGAGAAGTTCCCCCAAATCTGGAGCCAATCCAACAATCCCAAATTAGTGATGAACCATGAGGAATTCTTTGGTTCAACAAAGAAAAAAAACCAACCCAAATTGGTCACATCCAAATCCACCACGAATTATTATTTACAGGTGTTTATCAGGAGCACGACCCTCCCTTAAAAGTTAAATTGTGCCATTTCACCAGCAAACCCCAGGACTAGAAACACATTTTCTGAGTCGAGAGTGCTCTAAGTACTTCTCACATCTCAGGGGAAAGAGACACTTCACAGGATTATACACAGAGCTGGAATTGAGCTGCAAAACAAAACCAACACCTGCTTAGTCATTACCAGAATTTCCACAGTGCAGCTGCAGTATCTCGTATTTCCTGTGATTTCTGTTCGCCTCAAACTCTCTGCTTTTGACATTTACAAGTTTCAGAAGCTCGACATGTGGACTTGATGACCTTGATGAGGTGTTTTCCAACCTTAATGATTCTACACCAGATATTATCCAGCATATTATCCATGTAGGAATATTTTCATATCATCCAAACATGACCAATGGGTCACCATCACCCTCCTGGACAGGCAACCACCCCGTGGGCTGAGAAGCAACTTTCAAGTGGTGCAGACCACAGGAAACCACATGTGCAACCAGAAAAAAAAAACCAAACCCTTATGAAAACATCACCAAATAATCGATATTTTAATTTTTCCGGTTCTGGACCCAGTAAATATAAAACTGGCTTTTAGTTTAGAGAGATCTAAACATAGAACCTGGAGACTGTGGGAGAGAGTTAATATTCCAGGCCATGTGGTGTCATGTTCAGTGGATGAAGCTGGGGGAGAAGAAGGATGGGGGGATGTTGGGAGTGATGGCACCTTCCCAAGTCACGGCTGGGTGTGATGGGAGCTCTGCTTTCCCAACCACTGGGAAATTGGGAAGTGGGGGGATGAATTCCTTGGTTTGCTTTGCTTTACCCATTGGACTGTTCATCTCAACCCACATTTTCTCAGTGTTACCCTCCCAGTTCTCTCCTCCATCCCAGCAGGGCAGGGGGTGAGTGAGGGCTGGGTGGGGCTTGGTTGTCACCCGGGCTCAAACCAGGACACAGAATTATGACAAAATGCCTGAATTTTGTATTTCTGCTCGCAACAGCACCTTGGCTCCCTTACAGAAGTGTTACCATGACTCCTTAAAAAAAAAAAACAACTCCGGATAAAATCTCTTGCAAAAAGATTTCTTGATTTTTGCTCTAAAAAGAAGCGATTTTCTGAAGATAAAATGCAAAAGCATAAAACCCCTTCAAGTTCACACACTGTCAAATTTATAAAATAAGACAAAGAGCTGCCTTGATTGGTTTTATGTAGTTTTTTTAAATTTTAGATACAAGAACATGATCAGAGAACCAAGATTTGGAAACTAAAGGTTTCACTGGTGAGGGATGACTTAAAACCCTATAGAACTGACTTCTGAAATAATTCAGTTTTCCTAAAACAGTATGTAAACTTCTGAAAATGCATCCTGCATAGAAACAAGAAGTGTTTCCTATAAACACAATAAGAAAAAAAAACACCCTAAAACTTTCTTGATGGAAATTAAACTACCCAGAGGCATCTTCTGGGTTGTTAAACCCTCAGCTATGCAGCCATAAAAGTGAGGGTCAGAAGCTCTTAACTCGATTCAGGCAATGCAACTACAAATTTTTTTGTCTTTCAAGAATAGGATTTTGATTTTTAATTGTCTGTTGTGAATTAGAGAGTCTTAAAAGCCCCCTGAGGTGGCCTGAGTGAAGGAATTGTGCAGCCTGAGGGGATCTGGGACAGAGTCCCAAACCAATGAATCCCAGTTCACATGCACCACACCCAGCAAAAATCCATCCTGCCTCCTGCAAAAGTAGGAATGACATCTGGGAATTGGTCTGTGAGGGCAAAAGTTAATGAACAAACAAATAAAAAAGAAAATGCTAAAAAAATAAGCAGCATCGGATCCACGCCTTCAAATGGAGTATAAAATGTGGGAGAGGGATAACCCCACGTTCTCCAGCTGTTGGAATTCAGGTCAGTGTGGGTGACCCAGCAGTCCCCTTCAAACCCCTTCCCAGAACAAAGCCTGGAGCCTGGAAATAGGTGTGAGGAAGGATTAAAAACATGCCCCTGGTGACGTGTCCCACTGCTCCGCATTCCAGCGGCATCTGGACACGCTCCGGCCACACAACACGGAACCTCCCAGGATATCTTGAGCTGGAAGGGACCCACGGGATGAAGTGCTGGGTGAACTGGAGTGGGAGCAGCTGTCAGAGCAGTCACTGACAGGGAGGAGAAGCGCAGGGATCCCTGGAGGGATTGAGTCCCCATTCCAGGGGGGGGTTTTAAAGGAGCAGCAGAAGGTTACCTGCTTGGCACGGGGAATGTCAGCGGGCTGGCACTGCTGGCAGGGGTGGCACCGCTTCCCAGACTTCTGTGGGACAGGGATTGCATTGGCTCAGCAGGACTCCTACGGGGCAGGTAAAGGGGGTTGGTAACAAGGGGCCACAGTGATCCCCAGCCACTGCTCCTCAGCTCACCCCAAGCTCTTCCTTAGCACAAAATCATAGCAAACGCTGTCCTGCAGCACATCTGTGCTCTGCAGAGCAGAGGCACTTTCTGTTTATTCATAATATTGACCCCATGCCCCAAAAAACCCACTAAAACCGGATAGTTTGGGGATAGAAGCCTCTGGAAGAAAGGGAGACTTGACCTCCTTCACTAGTTTGATCCCACAGGAGGAGAAGCAGGGGAAGCTCCTGGATGGACTCTGCCAACAGTGGAAGCTGCAAACACTAATCCCACCATTTTCCTCCCCGAAATACACCCTCCAGCCTGTATTCCTGGGAATTCCAGCTGGGATTCCTGGGCCAACAGCTCTGCTTTGCTGGGAAGAGAGGGGACAGAAACTGCCACTAGCACTGGGGAGGGAAAGGAGCAGGATGCAGGAAGGGAGAGGGAAGCTGTGAGACATATTCCAGGTGGGAGAGCTCCCAGGACAGCAGTGGGAAGAGGAAGAGCCCCAGCAGTGGCAGCAGACCAGCAGTGGGTAACACTGACACAGCTTAGCAAAATATACACTGAAAAGGGCACCAGTGAAATGATTTGGGCGTGTCACAGCCTGAGACATCTGGGGACAATTTTAGGTGGCAGTGCCAGCTCCTCTGGGGGCAGGATTTATGCTTGGAAGCACAGAAGCTGAGATAATCTCCATTTCAGGGCAGCCTGGACTCCATGTGAAACAAGCTTCAGGCACAGCTCCTCAGCCCCCCTCAGCCCCCTCCAACCCCTGTGCTCAGTTCCTTGGTGAGTCACCACCCACCCCTCTGACTTTCCCTTTTTCCTTTCCCCTTCCTAGGAATGCACAGACTGAACCTGCCATGAGATTCCAGCACAGTCAGCAGGGAATTCTGTCCAGGAGTCCCCCAGCACCTCCAGCTGCTCCCTGCTTTGCCTCGTGTTGCTTTAACTCCAATCGCTCCACGCTCCAAATCCAACCCTCACCACCCATTCCCACCCCTCCTGACCACCCCACATTTTTGGGGATGTAAAGGGCTGCATTTAACAGGAGCACCAAGGAGATGTGGTGGAATGACACAGCTCAGGTATCCATCTGCAGCTGAGGAAGCTCAGAGGTGACCAGCTCTTTTCACTTCGGAGTTTCTCCATGAAATAAAAATAGCTAAAAATACCACAGGAACTTGAAAAAACCCAAAACCCACCTCTGGCTAACACAGAGGTGGATGTCTTCTGTCTTCCCAAAGCAGGGAAGCAGAGAGGAATGTGCCTTTCACACCACCAGCATCCCCCCACAGCACAAATGCAAGGGAGGAAAAGGGGTTTCTTGTTCCCGTGGGGTCACACAGACCCCAAATCCCAGGAGTGAAACATGGATCACATTCCAAGGTGCAGGAAATCCCAGTTTTCAGTTTCTGTTCAGGGTGCTGGGTAAGAAAATGTAGCCAATTTATGCCTTTTCATCACACAGTATGTGGGTCAGGAATCAATATTAATCCCTTCACTGCGAGGCCCTAAATAAAGCCAATCTCCTCTAGAAATGCTGAGCAGCTT